TTGCAAACCACAAACCACAATCCCATTCACAACAAAAATTCTCCATCGCGCACCCACAAACGCACGCACAAGCCTCCCCCCCTTCCCCCCATTGTCCAGGGATTCGATGAGGATAATCCACTTTCCCGCAGCCGGTATCCTTCGCTCCTTCGTGTGTTTCGTGTGTTTCTCTTCCTTCTTCCTTTTCCTCCTCTTCTCGTGGCTTCGTTTCCTTGCTTTTTGTGTTGTTGGTTTTGGTTTTGTTTTATTATTGTTATTATTTTATTGTTATTATTATTGTTGTTTGTTATTGTTATTATTATTATTATTATTATTGTATTATTATTATTATTATTTATTATTATTATTTCATTCTTCTGAGATGTTTCATGCGTCCTCTTCTCTTTTTGTGTTTTTTTTTCTGCCTCATCTTTGCTTTCTCTCTTCCTCTTTTTCTTGGTTCTTACTTCATTAATTATTCCTTTTTTTTCCTCCCACTTCTTCATCTCTTTTATTTCTTTTCCTCCTGCCCCCCCCCCCATCTACCTCCCTCAGCTATCCTCCATATTCCAATCTACCCCCCCCCCCCCTTCACCCCCTACCATCCCAATCCTTTCTTTCCTTCCCCACTCATCCTCTCCCCCTTCTCGCTCTCCTCTCCTCTCCTCTCCTCTCCTCTCCTCTCCTCTCCTCTCCTCCTCGTTCCTAATCCCTCCCCCATCTCCTTCCTATACCCCCCCCCAACCCTCCCCTCTTTCCTTCTATCTCCTATCCCCGTCTTCCTCTTCTCTCTCCTCTCCTCTCTTCACTTCTCTCCCTTCCCCCCTTCTCTCTTCCCCCTTCTTTCTCTTCTCCCGTCTTCACTTCTCTCTCCCCTCCCCCCTCCCTTCTCTCCCCTTCCCCCTCTCTTCCCTTCTCCCCTTCCCCCTCTCTTTCCTTCTCTCCCCTTCCTTCCCCTCACCCTTCTACCCCCATTCCCTCCTCTATCCCCCTCTCTCTCCTCTCTCTCTCTCTCTCTCTCTCTCTCTCTCTCTCTCTCTCTCTCTCTCTCTCTCTCTCTCTCTCTCTCTCTCTCTCTCTCTCTCTCTCTCTCTTCTCTCCCCCCCCCCCCGCCATGGGACCGACGTCTGCGTGATGAGTGTGTGTGCGTGAGTCATGCAGACAGATGTTCACAGGGGATCTTAGGCAGCTGATGTGCACGATGCCTTTTGGTGCATGTTAAGGGCTAGGGAGGAGGGGGGGGAGGGCCGGGGGAGAGTGGAGGGGACGGGGTGGAAGGGTGGGGGGAGGCGGGGGTGGGGTGGAGTGGAGGGGGAGGAGGGGTTGAGAGTGGAAGGGGAGGTTTAGGTTTGAGAGTGGAGGGAGAAGGTGGGGGGAGAGTGGAGGAGGGGGTGGAGGCGTGGAGTGGGAAGTGGGGTGAGAGTGGAGGGAGGAGG